GCCACACCTAATGTCAGGCACAGTGCGCATTTAGGTTGGGAACTGTTTCCCACGCTCTTTGGGCCACAAGAGTTAGTGGCTAGCTTAGTGTTGTCATTGTTAATGATGATGTGCGCACTATTTCCTAATTGGGCCATTTCCTAATCAGGAAAAGCGTTACACTTTTTTCTGCCACACCTAATGTCAGGCACAGTGCGCATTTAGGTTGGGAACTGTTTCCCACGCTCTTTGGGCCACAAGAGTTAGTGGCTAGCTTAGTGTTGTCATTGTTCATGATGATGTTCGCATATTTCCCAATTGGGAAAGTCATTACATAATACCACTTCAGTTTGTAGTCTCCGCTTTTTTAGACTACAAAAGTTTGTAGTGTGCGCTTTTTTCATTACAAAAGTTTGTAGTGTTCTGCTTATGTTCACTACAAAATTACTAGTGTGCGCTTTTTTAGACTACAAAAGTTTGTAGTGTGCGCTTTTTTCATTACAAATGTTTGTAGTGTTCTGCTTATGTTCACTACAAAATTACTAGTGTGCGCTTTTTTAGACTACAAAATTACTAGTGTGCGCTTTTTTAGACTACAAAAGTTTGTAGTGTGCGCTTTTTTCATTACAAAAGTTTGTAGTCTTCTGCTTGTGTTCACTACAAATTTACTAGTGTGCGCTTTTTTAGACTACAAAAGTTTGTAGTGTGCGCTTTTTTCATTACAAAGGTTTGTAGTCTTCTGGTTGTGTTAATGACAAAGTTTGTAGTGTGCATTTTTTGGACTACAAAAGTTTGTAGTCTTCGCTTTTTTCATTACAAAGGCTTGTAGTGTGCGCTTTTTTCATTATAAAAGTTTGTAGTGTCCGCTTTTTCATTACAAAAGTTTGTGGTCTGCTTTTCTGATATGTTGTAGTCTCCTATTATCTATGTAGGTATATGGGGGTAGACCTGATGGTGCGCACATCATCATTAACAATGACAACACTAAGCTAGCCACTAACTCTTGTGGCCCAAAGAGTGTGGGAAACAGTTCCCAACCTAAATGCGCACTGTGCCTGACATTAGGTGGCAGAAAAAAGTGTAACGCTTTTCCTGATTAGGAAATGGCCCAATTAGGAAATAGTGCGCACATCGTCATTAACAATGACAACACTAAGCTAGCCACTAACTCTTGTGGCCCAAAGAGCGTGGGAAACAGTTCCCAACCTAAATGCGCACTGTGCCTGACATTAGGTGTGGCAGAAAAAAGTGTAACGCTTTTCCCAATTAGGAAATGGCCCAATTAGGAAATAGTGCGCACATCAAAGCGCACACTTCAAAGTTTTCTAACTAAGCTTGTCTTTTCTAATGAAAAAAGCGGACACTACAATTTTTGTAGCCTTACTTTGGTTAAAGCTATTGGTAAATATATGTAAACAAACTTCGAAATGAGGGTTTTCTGCCTTCCTCTGCATAGATTATGGTTCCTGTGATATTTTAAGCATCTATCCCATCAATCTCTTTTTCATTGAGCATAGCCACACCTTCCATATTTAGAAATTCACACTGGATCCTGAGAACAGCACCTCANACATCAAACAACATGGTATGGTATGGGAGTGGAGTACCATGGTATGGTATAAGGGTGCAATACCATGGTATGGGGTGTTGTAAGCAAATCTCTGTATGGTATGGTATGATTCCATTCCCATGGTATGATCCCATTCCCATGGTATGGTATGATTCCATGCTCATGGTATGATTCCATTTCCATGGTATGGTATGATTCCACCCCCATGGTATGATTCCATTTCCATGGTATGATTCCATTTCCATGGTATGGTATGATTCCACCCCATGGTATGATTCCATGCCCATGGTATGGTATGGTTCCATACTCATGGTATGATTCCATCTCTATTGTATGATTCTGAAGACATGTGGGATAAGGAATTGGCAATCTGTTCCAAGAGCATCTCCCAAGTTGCTCCCTCATAGGTGAATGTCCATAGCATTTGTTCATATTGCTGTCAATGTCATGGACTTCTTCACCATCCCTGATTAATTGTATGAAAGACAGAATTTTGATTTAAATTAGAATAGCTATATTTAATAATGATACCTTGAAGCTTGTAATTAGAAGTCTTGGCCTGCTTGTGTTCAAATGTTCAAATCAAAATTCCCCACAATGCCAGCTCTGCTGAGTGGCAAATATGAGGAGATTCCAAATCCAAGTTTTTTGATGATCCCATTCCTATGGAATGACCCCGTACTTTTTCATAAATGGCAAATTTTGAACATATTCTATCTGAAGAAGGCATCCTTGCCTTGGGTAGTAATTTGGCTAAAGTTCATGCCTTTGCAATAAATAAAGTCTTGCAAAATTCTTGTTTTCCTTCAGAGGCCATGCCATTGTGATGGATACAACATTAATTTATTTGTCATGAATATAAATGGCCTGGCAAGATATACACTTTTAAGTGGCTTGTGATGGATTATCCACAGTGAAAATGGCCAAACCCTGGGATAAAGCCCAATCAAGCTAATTTTCAAGTGAATTTTCAAAAGATCAAGTTCACCCTATAGCCTCCACTTGTAGCTTAAAATGTCAGAAGAAATCTGAAGAACCAGTCCACAAAAAATGGAGCCCAATGGATCAGTATTACAGCCTGGAGAAATAATTTTCATATTTTGTAAAAAGGACCCCAGACACCCTGTGACAGCTATGGAATGATGGTATGGTATGGTATGGTATGGTATGGAATGGTATGGAATGGTATGGTATGGAATGGAATGGTATGGTATGGTATGGTATGGTATGGTATGGTATGGTATGAGGTGGAATGGTATGTGGCATCCATACCATGGTATGATGGAATTGGTATGAGGGTCATACCACTCTGGAATGGGGTACCACTAAGGTTCCCTAATTCAAAGAATTGGATAACCTCATAGGTACCCAAAAATGGGTGACTGAAGTGACAACTGAGCTGACTTCTTTTAAGTTTTCGTAGTGTTTTTTCTATTGTGGCAATGTGACACATCAGTATTGATGCGTACATGGGAACTGCCGTAGACAGTTTTCATGATCGGTTGAGCCAAGGCGAACGGTCCACTTACTGATTTTCTCTCTATTATTAGATGCTACACATGGGTCTCAGACTGCACAGCAAATTGTTCATAGTTTTTCTCTCTTGGTAGACTTCGGAATATTTCATGAAGTTGAGTTTTCTTGGGTCAATGATGCCATGATTTATGATGTGTTGATGCACGTGATGTGTCTCACCACATGACTTCTTGGATCATGCTTCGTAGCACGTGACCAAATGACTTCTTGTGTCAGGTATGCGTCGAGTTTCTACACTTGCGCGTTTATCTTAGAATTAATATCTTTTAATCGATAATAAGATGAGACCCAGGTTTGGTGTAAACTCCAACACCCTGTGCTGAGGTGTCTTTACTCTAGAACACTCTGTAGTGTACTATTTCATGGTAGTGTAGCCTTTTATTAGACTTCAAGTATATTGAAGTGATTCAATCACGAACCGACCACAATTCCTACAGCCTGAGGTGTGCACATTTCTCAGAGGTAGACTTTAATTGACTAGACCAGGCTGTGTCTAACGATCCTTATGATCAAAGTGATTGTATTCTACTATAGAAGGTTTTATAGGAGAATTCGCTAAATTTCGCATTTTTATGGGTGTATTGTTACACTTTGTACTATTGGGGCACCATGGACTAGGGGTGCACACCATACTGTAACGGTATATGGCCGTATGCATTTGGTTGCATGATGGTGTCGGGTACACCGAAACCGTTACCGTCGAGTAATCTGCAAGCCAACCGTGGTACAGTCAGTGCAGAACACGACCGTAAACGGCCGTGTTCGGTGGCTTACAAGGAAAGAAAAGTAATTTAATTAACACTAGCTACTGGAGGTATATATTAGCATTGATCTTTCTTTGTAAGGTTGACATGTGCAAGCCTGAGGCGATTTTTAACCAACATCAGCACTCTGATGGTATCTGGAATGAGGCTGGCACATCGTAGAGAGATAGTATCATGCCCCCTGGAAAATATATGTTCAACGGCAACTGCAGAACCTGTGGTACTGGTGAGATTGAAAATGAACTTAAAAACATTGATGAACATACCTGGAATTGAGAAAAGGTCACGCGCAAGGCGATAGAGGTTAGGAAATTGTGACCGTCTCCCAAGCCACCATTCCAGGGGTTTACAGGTATCAAAGTCTTTGTGTGTTAACTTGTAAAACTCATCCAGCTTGTTGACGACTACCCAGTCTTCCTTTTGGTAGTGCGATGTCAAATTTACCTTTTCAGGTGAGTGGGGGGCACTACCACTGGCTGAAAGAATGGATGAACTTGATTGCGATGATTGAACAGGGGTTCGATAAGTCTGATTTGCATAGTTTTTGTTGAAAAATGTCTTCAATTGATCCCGCGTGTTGTTCAAATCAGCGAGAAGTGTGGGGTCCGAAGCGCAGTCTCTTCTAAGCCTTACATACATGATCTGAGGATCAAGTACTGGAAATAAAGGTCAAATTTCAGAAAGAAAAAACGAAGTAGAGGAAGGAATAAAGCATACAAGAAGCCCAAGTATAATATGGGGACTCATCCGAGCGATAATAGTAGTCACTGAGTTTTTTGTGAGCCTCAATCAAGCCGTTTCTCAATTGATGTGGTGCAGAGTCAGGAAGATCTGCCAACGCTTGGTGAACATGGTCTTGTAATCCATGGAAAATGGCATGGGCTCCTTCGTCTTGGACATGTCAGTAGTAGCCGAACGAAAGACCTTGAGCCAGCCTGCAACAAGACATATGGCTGACCAGTCAGCGGCATCGAGCTCCAATGCACAGAGATCTCGGTGGCACCCAATGAACTCATCGATTTCCTTCGCAAAGTCTAAGGCACGTCCTACATGACTACTGAGTAATGACCAACAAAAGAAGAATACAGAAGTTGACGTACGCAGCATTTGATGTGTTGAAGACCAACAAGTTTTAACATCTAAGATAAGCATCAATGCACGTTGTCGCTCAACACCGTTCTTGCCCCGAAATGAGTCTTCAAGTTGCTTGAACCATGCCTACTTCCACTGAGGGCTGGAACGAATTGTGCAGATGACTTTACGAAGCTCAAAATATCATCAGCTCAAGACTTAAGCTATGTAAACAATCGACTCACCTTTTCAATGGCAGGCAATATATTGCCCGATGCATCAGGGGATAAACTAACCTCCTCCTCTTGGTCTCCGTCAGCTTGCGCAGCAGTGTTGTCATCATGAGAACGACCAAGAGGTGCTGATGTGGAATCTTGATAATTGCCACTTCTGGACATGGCCTTTTGGGCTTCCGTCTTGGAGATGGCCCCGATTGCCTCAAGTAACTGCAGGGTAACATGAGCTTCAGTATCATAAACTACAAATAATTGATGAGATGAACCTTGATGGTGGCAAGATGGATAGTGTGTGGCATGCAATGAAGACGGGCCCAAGCCGCGTTGAGATGGATACCCTCTTTGGCTGCTCAGGACTCAATTCCTTCGACCATAGTATCATTGTTTGAAGCATTGTCAAGCATAAATGCAAAAATCTGTGTGTGAAATTAACGGTTCATTTCTCATGAACTTTTAATTGAAAAATTACTCACACAGTCTTCAATTCCATATCGTTTTAATGTCTCCCATACGACTTCTGCCATGTTTTCACCTGAATGTTCACCAATGAGCTCTCGAAAATCAATGAGCAATTATTCTTTAAGTATGTAAATACTCTGTAAGAATAATGACAGGAATTATTAGTTACCTAGCTTTCCTTCCTTATTTACATAATGGGCGATGATGGCAAGAAAAGCGTAGTTATTACTGGATGTCCAAGCGTCGAGCGAGAGGCTGATCTTTCCGGGGACCTCATCCTGATGACAATATGAGACATATTCCATTCAGAATTGAAACATTGATTCTTACCTTGAACATTTGCTTGGTGGACTCCATACTATCTTCACCCATCTCCATTACTCGATGTTTAATAGCGTCGCGGTGTGGAATTTGGAGGGTGGGAGCGGGATGGTGGGTGTATGTTAAGAGCTCACGAAGCTCAGGCCTATCGACCTCTTCGAATGGCTGGTCACAGACTACGATCCATTCAGCAAGGAGCTGCTCGAATTTTCCTTGATCCCAAGGATTCTATGAATTATAAGCGACTTTTAAACAACAAATAAAAGTATCAAATGACTTACGGCAGCATTGACGGCCTGCTTTTCGAATGTGGCACGAATGTTTTCAGAAGCCATCTTGAGGTTCTTGAAGAACTCCTTGGATTTTCCAGGGTCAAGGACCTTTTTGCCGGAAGTGATTTGGATTTCGTCCTCAGTAATAAGTTGATTGGAAGGCCTCTCTTTCAACGCGACGAAGAGCTGGAACATGCTTGGCGAGCATGCTTTCAAGTTGTTTACCATGGCTAAAAACAACAGAGTTAGGCTACGGTGATGTGTCGCAATTATGTTACTTACATGTTGAGAAGACCATGTCACGCAGGAGTGAGAATAGTGTAATCGGACGCACTGACAAGATGCGTGAACACCTAAACAACACACACACACACAAACACCTTAAACACTTATCACCACAGGTACATGCTCGGTACTTCGAGTTCGGGTTCGTACGGTAAACAGAATTACCACACTTGTTTTGTTAGAACTTAAGTAGAAGTTCATGGAAACGTTTTTTTGTATATTTTATATCACTTGTCTAAGTCTAGTAGACCTTTTTGGAACAAAAGGTATTGTTTTACGTGCGGACACAGTATAGAATTCGAAACTTAGTAGTCTTCAAAGGGAAACAGCTTTTATTGGGACTGTCTCGGTGTTCTGGGATTGCGTTCTAACTGTATATGAAGAAATGACAAGGAAATTGTGCTTTGTAGACTTTTATAACTCCCTTGAGCTTGTATTATGCCTCTGATGCGGTCCAAACTAGTCTTAAAGACTCTTCAAGCACGCTCACTTGGATTCCTCGGTAATAGTAGAGAGCTCTCTTACTAATTGACGAGACAACCTTACAAAAGCTTTGTGATCCCCACTTAACACGCTGGTTCCGGGCACACGTTACTTATGTCTGCGAAGAAAAGTCCTTAAATTGATTACAAACTTATCCACTACCTCAGATGCTACTGGGAGTGTGACAGCTGGTCAACGCGGGGGATAATTCCTTGCATTTCAGCCTGCGCGCGTCCTCTTTTTATACTATTCTATGTTTTCTATTTATATTTACATGTCCGTGTGTTGTCCGAGAGGTCGGACGAATTAATGCTGATTTTTAGTAAAGGTTTGAAGTGGCTCGGTTGTGTGTGGCACAACTGAGCTGACTTCTTTTAAGTTTTCGTAGTGTTTTCTCTATTGTGGCGACGTGACACATCAGTATTGATGCGTACGCGGGAATCGCCGTAAACGGTTTTCACGATCGGTTCAGCCGAGATGAACGGTCCGCTTAGTGATTTTTCTCTCTATTATTAGATACTATGCCTGGGCCTCGGACCGCACGGCAAATCGTTCATAGTTTTTCTCTTTTGGCAGGCTTCGGAATATTTCACAAAGCTTAGTTTTCTTGGGTCAATGATGCCATGATTTGTGATGCGCGTGATGCGTCTCTCCACATGACTTCTTGGATCATGCTTCGTAGCACGTGACCGAATGACTTCTCGCGTCAGGTACGCGTCGAGTTTCTACGCTCGCGCGTTTATCTTTAGAATTAATATCTTTTAATCCATAATAAAGTGAGACCCTGGTTTGGTGTAAACTCCAACACCCTGTGTGGGGGTGTTTTTACTCTAGAACACTCGGTAGCGTACTATTTCATGGTAGTGTAGCCTTTTATTAGACTTCGAGTATATTGAGGTGATTCGGTCACGAACCGACCGCAATTCCTACTGTCTAAGGCGTGCACATTTCTCGGATGTAGACTTTAATCGACTAGACCGGGTTGCGTCTAATGATCCTTATGATCAATGTGACTGTATTTCTACTATAGGAGGTTTTATAGGAGAAATCGCTAAAATTCGCATTTTTACGGGTGTATTGTTACACTCCGTATCAATGTGAGGTTCAATTTTCCGGTTTTCTTGAGAGTGAAAATTTTGCGATTACTGTGGCAGCACTGGAAATGTTTGTCGCCAGGGTTCCCAACCCCCCCATCAGCACCACGGGCGACGCTTTTATAGAAATAGTATATGGGATTCTTTGTTGCAGACTAAATGGGTTGTTTATTAGTCAATCATACAAGAAAATCTAACACAAACATACTTTACTCTTTGTCTTGTTACTAGATGATGGTCCTACTTGATCCAAAGGTCAGATCTCTTCCAAAATAGTGTTTTCATCATCTGGACTCGGAGAGCGTTCGGAAACTCGATGTGGACTGTCCTCGTCCTCAACCTTGATAATGGTTGGGGCAGTACGCTTTCGTTTTTTTGTTCCAGATCTGCGGCCCGTCGTTGGGAGAGTCTTTGAGAGAAGGACAGAGGCAAGCTGACAATTGTTGATGAGTAAAAAAGCCAGTGGAAACAAAAGCGACATACCTCTGCATTCGAACTGCTTCAACTTCAATAGAGCTGTTGCTGGACTCTGAATCCGATGAACCCGTCGTGAAGTTGTCATCGTCGTCATCGCTCTCAACACCAGTATCCGGCTTAAGTTTCTTTGTGTGGGGCTTGCAAGAGCATTTGGCACGATTTGCCGCTCAAGGTTGCTTTGGCAGGATTGGCTCGCCGTCAGAATCTAAGGCCTCAGCTGCAATATAGTCAGCCATTTTCGCCCCTTGACCACTTCGTCGACCATCTGAAGTGCTGGAATCAGATGTTGTTCAAGAATAAAAAAAGAAATTGACCTGTTATCACAGCAGGCAACGTGGATGCAGCAAGACGTGGAAGAGAGCGGCTGTCTGATTCAGATTGGTACCAATCTATGTCGTCGGCATCTTTGAGTTGACCAGATGTGTCCATAGCGCATCCAAGTTCTGTAGGCATTGTGGAAAAGAGTGCGTAGTGTCTCCTCTGAAAACATACCATATAAATATGGAGCTCGCAGGCACATTTCCCTGTGTTTCATGGTGAAATTGCAAGCCGCAATATATCAAGAAATCACTGTTGTCAGCCACAAGGATTGTTAGAATTTGAAATGCACATAAAAGATTATGAGGGGGCATAAGTGTACAAACCTTTGAAAGAATCGCCTTGGGCATGCGGAATTCACAAACTTGATTACGACAGAAAGAAGCCTTTTCATTCATGGCATAGTGTACAGAAGGAGTGAAAAAGTAAGAAGTAGTGCTGTGACAGGTTCCTATGGGATGAAAGACAATGATGCGACAGATATCTGTAGGCACGTCGCATTGAGAACAAGTAGTGTTTAAAGGTTCAGTCCATAGGACCGCAAAAAGCTGGTGGACCGAACTGAACCGGACCATGGTCCGGTCTTTTTTTCGGTTGCAGTTGCCCCAATTTGGGGTTGGTCCGGTTGCCAGTTGCCTCATTTCGAAAATCTTTTAAAACCGTTCAAAGACCAGTTTTAATCGGTTGCGACCGGTTAAACGGTCACGTGCGTTACATAGCCTTGTAACCACGTTTATTGCCTTTTATTGGGTTTTTGTTTCATCAAAAACGGTTAAGAATTGAGAAAGATATAACCAAATCCATATTTTACCCAAGTCTCTAGGAGATGTAATTCAGTTTCAGTCATAGCTATGTCAAATCTTCATTAAATCTCTTGAAAATTGGTAGAATGACGGGTATTTACATGCTTTACTATTTTATATAACCCGTTTATTTTTCAGAGTAATAATAGTCGAGATATAAATGGTTTATATGGGTATAATAAATTATATGCAAAAAAACCGGTCTGGATCGGTCTGAACCGGTATCATGGACTGCAAAAGACCGGTCCTAGGTGGTTCGGTTCGGTTCCCTCAATATCTGGGTCGGTCCTGGACTGGTTGCGGTCCACGGTTGCGCGTTTTCGGGGCAAAAAACCGGACTGAACTGAACCTTTAAACACTAAGAACAAGGAACGAATGATGATTTGTCGACCGCAGGAGACTGTTGATAACGTTTGAAATTAAAACACCGACAACGGCCATTTCCGACCATCAACTATTATTCTTGTCGGTTATCTACCGTACCGTCGCCGTACCGATAGATGACTTTCACTGAGGCACACAATACGGTGTGGGGGCCATTTATTCACAGCTGTACATCGTAAGTTCGGCAGTGGTGCGCAGCCCTAACCATGGACTTCATCAAGATGAAGTCCCTGCGTGCCTAATCTTGAAGGAATTGTGAAATAGTGATGTGCAGGCCCAGCTTGGCCTAAAAGCCATGGTTATGGCCCAGATTTGGGCAGCTCAGGCTGTTAGAAGAGACACCTTGTGAGCTCTCTTGTTTACACATTTTATTTGCACACTTCAATCACTTTTTCTTTTTATCCCTTGTAAATATACTTCCACTATTTGCTAGTCTTTAGTCCAGGCCACCAAAACTTTTGTATATAAACCTATGAACTTCATTTCCCTCACCTCAGTCATCATCACACTTGTGTCTGACTCTGAGGTGGGCTACTTTATCTATATTTTATTACTAGAGCAGCTGGTTGGGCCTCAGTTGCGGTTTAAGATGCAGAAGGTCGTTTGGGACAGCACTTAGGTATCTCTATGTCACTATTCAATGGATTTTATCAACTCCTGCCCAATAGATTCTCCATACCCATTGTTGATGAAGGCTGTTGATTCATCGGGCTTTGTGCTGGCTCTGATGCCTCTGACTGGCTAGACATGCATAGTGATGTGCAAGGGTTTGCAAACCCTTAGGGGTACAAGGGTAAGGGTAAGGAGGGTAAGGGTAGAGGTTAGGATTTTCTGACCCTCAAAAAACCCCAACCCTTGACAAGGGTTGGGGGTTTTTGTGAGGGTAAGTCAAGGGTGGTCAACAGATTATGTAATAGCTGCATGAGCGGTGTTTGCCAGGAATGTTACATACATCAAGAACAAACAAACACTTTTCTTTCTCAACAACCATCCACATCGACGACCTCCCACAACCGCGACCAACAACCCCACCTTCCGCAACCACCACCGTTCGACGTTCTGAACCACCAATGCACACGTCGACAATAACGACAACGTGGCAACGCCATGTCAGCAGCCCAATGGCTGACAGTGACCTGGCACGTCGTCCAGACAGTGACAACGCAATCGTCGTCACTGCCCACATTAGTTCAGGTGCGCAATGTGATCCCTCCCCCACACCCTTTCCTTTCTTCACACAACAAACAGGTGCCACGTCAGTGACGTGACAACCAACAACGACCAAACCACACTTTAACCACCACGACTAACCACCACCACCTTCCCCAACCGTGGTTCAATGCCCCGAACCACCACTACACATGCCAACAACAACAACAACGAGGCGACACCACATCACCAGCCGAATGGATGACAGGTGATGGCGACGACCTGGCATGTCAACGATGACACCACGCCATGACAACAACAATGCCACGACAATGACAGTGGACGGTCAAACAACCGACACAACGATATCTGATGACACGACAAGAAGAGGGGGGCGTCACCTTGACTTATGTACTGATTGATTAGACTACGTAGTGTACATTATACTTGACCCTAACGTCCACCCGTTGTGGGTTTTCGACCCCCCCAAACCCTGTACAAACCCCTACCCCCACCCCTGAAATACCCTTACCCATGGAAAGGGTACGGGTTTGCATCGGGTAAGGGTAAAGGTAGGTGTGAAAACACCTGCGGGTTACCCGTGCTCATCACTAGACATGCATCAGTCTGCTGCTGCTGCTCTGGAGGAAGCTCGAGGATGGATGTCCTGGGGAAAAAAGGATAGGTGGCATCAGTGTGGGGCTTTCTTTGCATATAGGTATCTCACATGTGGTGGACAGACTAAGCCCATGGTTTTGCATCAATACTTTCCCATCCCCCACATAATCCACTTGGATTCCACTGGATTCCACTGGATTCTGCTGGACTTCACTACATACTGTACCATTATAACAATATTCACAAATCTGAACTGGACTGGAGTTCAAACATGTCAGTAAGTCTGTATATTTCCCTTTCCTGTCTGAGCTTTTCCTCACTCATTATGCATTGCAGTGATCTCCAATGGTCTTTTTTATCATAGTCTCAACCCAGTGTACCATCACTAGCAGTAGCGCACTGGTGTCCTATCATACAAGCAATATATAATGTTTTTATCAGAATCACTTCATTATTAGTCAAATATCAACCATCATCTAAGTTAAAACTAACCAATGATAGGTTGAAATTAACTGGTATAACAGCCTCAGAAGGCTTAGGTTGAAATTTGAAAACAGCCATTTTAGGTTGTTAATCAACCAAAGTGACCCAGGTTGAATACCAACCTAACTTACCTAAGGACCAAGGTTGATGAAGATCAACCTAAAAAGCGGTTGAATGCGACCTATGTTAGGTTGAGTTTCAACCAGCATGACCTGCACAGTGTCCCTGGTGAGCAGGGGGCGGGTCTGTGCGCAAAAGGGGGTGACATGACCGGAAATAGCCTCAGATGTCGGAAAAATCCGTGATGCCTTACAATAATAATAAATTACAAGGCTATCGGGAGCTATTGTAGTCACGTTATAATGGTCACGTTGCATTATAAGATCAATGTTTGTCCTGTAATCAAAGTGCGCGCGCTGCGCTGAATGCGCGTCTGTCGTCCCTCCTCATTCCCAATGCCTCCCAAAGGGAAAGGTCCAAAAGGAACACTAAAGCCTTCTGTTTTAGACCCTCTATGCACTTTTTGCGGGCTTCCTTTCAAGTCAAAGGGCATAACACAGCACCAAAAATCATGCAAATCTCATCCTGAGGCAGTTGCTTCAGATGCAAGATCCAGGGCATTTGAGGAACAGGTACAACAAGAGGGGTTATTGGGTAAGCTGTACAGTGCTTGATGGCATATTACTGGCTAATAGCCTTGGTCCAGACCCTTTTATCCCTGTGATTGGGCCAAGCTCTGCCTACACTCCTCTTGGTAGCATTCATTTCCTCCCTTCCACTTTTTTCTTGATTTTCCAAGCTGATCAGTTCAATCTAGGGTATACACATACTCAATTGCAAGCAGGAAATGTGGAAAATAGTAAGTATTACTTGATAGCACACATCTGCTTATGTTACCCAGCCTATGATGCAAACATAGCAATATTCAATGAAAATGAAACGATCAACAACACCGATAACAACAACACCGAGCCCCATGGTGAAGTCCATACTGACGAAGGGTCCTCTAGTCCATTTGAGCAGGCACCACAGCTCAATGACATCAAAGTGGAGTACCATTCAAGAAGCAGACGCCAACCTCAATTCTTTAGCTTTGATGAGTACAAAAGCAATTTCCAGGATCTCGATAGTGTTGACATTCCAGTTGATCCCGAGCCATGGAAACCTTTCCGTTCTCGTCTCGATTTTGAACTGGCAGAATTGATTCTTGATACCCACATGAATAAGAATCAAACGAATGAACTCATCTCCCTCATACATCGATGTATTCTAGACCCCAAGTCTTTTACCTTGAAAAATGAACCTGACTTGTCAAAAATTTGGGAGAATGCTGCAAATCGGGCAACTAAGGTAAGCAGAATTTTGTTCACCTGCAGGTGGAAAAGTGATCTGACTATATTAGTTTGAGAAAACAACAATCACAGTAGAGTATAATGATGAAGATAAACCCTTTGACGTTTGGACGCGTCCATTGTGGAGTTGGGCTGAGGAACTTCTTCTCGACCCCCACCTTTCCAGGGAATTTCATTGGGATGCTGAACATCATTACAGATTTAATGGGGAGACTTATGAACGATTCATTGATGAGCCCTGGACAGCTGATGCATGGTGGGAAATTCAAGTAAATTGTGAAGTCCCATCTGCTCATTATCATGATATCTAATGATCAACTAGGCATCGCTTCCACCAGGAGCAGTTCCTTTTTTTTTCATGGTGTATGCAGATAAAAACAGGCTATCATCCTTTGGCACTGCAAAGGGCTACCCTGCCATTGCTGTTTGTGCCCATCTTCCAACATCGATTCGAAATGGGGAAAAGAGGGGGAAAAGAGTTTGTGTTGGATGGTTTCCAGTTGTAAGAAGATTTCTCATCAATTATAATTGCATGCAGCTTACCCATAGAGCCATGCAGTTGCAAGAAGACTCAGGTGAAACTGGAAAAAAGAAATATGTGAATTTCAAAAGAGTTGTCTGGCATAAGGCATTCTATGAAATCTTGAAGTCTGTTGAGCAATATGCAGAAACTGGCTACCACCTAACAACTGCTGATATTGAACGGTGGATGTTTCCCATTGTGCTTATTGCATCTGCAGACTATGAGGAGCAGTAAGTATTGACATCTGCAATTTACATTGAACTTCACAATTTTCTGTGCAGATGTGTTATTGCCCTCATTCGTGGGGTCAACAGCAAATTTCCCTGCCCAGTCTGCCTCATTCCTGGGGATCAGCTTGCCAACCTTTCATCAGACTTTCCCCTTCGTTTTTCCTCTGACATGGAAAAGATTTACAAGTCCACAATAGGACTTAATGCCTCTGAGACAGAAGAAACCTTGAAGAATGTTGGTCTTCGGGATGTTGAGGTAACATTCAAATGGGTTGATTCATATATTTCACTGATGACTTACTTCCAAAGAATGTTTTTTGGAAATTTCCTCGCACTGATATTCACCAAGCAATTTCTTGGGATCGCCTTCATGCATATCATGGAGGTTTATTCTCAGATCATATCTGGGAAGAGGTTAAAAGTGTAGCTGAGGAACTTGGAAAGGGTGTCTCGAAGTTGATTGATACCCAGTATGGATTTGATCTCTTTCTTGAGATAGAATATATTTATCTTTATTTACAGGGTTGATGCTCTCCCTACTTGGAGTGGTTTAAACCACTTTACCTCCATTATAAAGACAGGTGAATTTGCTGATGGAAGCAAGTATGAGGACATGTCGAAAGTAAGTCAGCTTTTTGAATTTCCTCTCAAAATTCAAGTTTCATGACCTGGGTTAGGTTCTTATCTTTGCACTCCACAATATTTTTACAAAGGAAGCATCTCCTCGAGGATATCAGCTACTCAAGCTTCTGCGAAGCTATGTTGAACTTGATATGTATGCATCTCTCAAGGTTCATACAGAGACAACTATTCAAAAAGGTCGAGAGGAACTGTTGGTTTTTGAGAAAGCACTTCATGTATGTACAATAATTGGTTTACATTGCCTTTAACAATTTACCTTTATATATATAGGAATATATGCCATTTAACCCAGCTAAATTGTGGTCATTTCCAAAAGCACATACCCATAAGCATATGTTTGACGATATCCAGCAAAAAGGGGTGACACGAAACTATAATACAAAGCCCAATGAAAAATGTCATGGTGCATTCAAAAACAGCTACAAGTTCCGAACAAATTTCAAGAATGTTGCACCACAGGTATTTGCTAAATTCTCTAACTATTCAAAGTCCTGTTTTAAATTGACATAAATAAGATACTCAAATTTGATCATGCCAATTTAGTTGCAACTGTCATCCGCGATGACATTGACTACCTTGATTTATCCCAGGCAGAAGCATCTGCTGAAGATAGCCAAATCCAGGTGACACGAAACATCATTGGAACGGCCCATGTATCCTTGGGTTCTCAATGTGCACCAGTTGCATTTTCAGACCTTGAGGATGAACACAGTGCAGACTCTGCATTCAAAGATTTTCGCAAGAAGATTGGACGCTTTTTTACAAGATATCTTGGAAGATCGGTAAGGTTTGGACCAAGTGATCAGGTAAATTTTGACCTTTGAAGACTACTCTTGTCCACTTATGATGGTATCTGAATTCAATAGATCAATCCCTTTCAATTGCTAAGAGTTAACTATGAATCAAAAGATGACTGGTGTGTAGCCACCGACCTTCTTCGTGCCAACCCAAAATTCCATGGCAAGCCACGATATGATTGCATCATTGTCAAGATTGATGAGGAGAAGTATATCTTTGCACGCTTACTCTACATTTTTGGACTTCAAGTTCTTGACAAGGAGTATCACATGGCACTTATCCTACCCATGGATCTTCCACCTGATTTGGAGAATCGTGGACGGGATAATGACCTTCGCTTCAATCGAGTCAAGGCCCGACATCGCTCACTCTCAGTTTTTATCTCCGTTGAATCAATCATTCGTGGAGGTCTTCTTGCAACTAGTGTTTGGAAGTCCGGTCTCGTGACTGGAAAAAGACCGTAACCAGACCGGACCAAGACCGCAAAAGACCGGACCTGCGGTTACGGTCTTTTATTTTTAAAATGTAAAGACCGGAAAAAGACCGGTTAACGTGAACCGGTCTTGACCGGTTTGGACCGGTTTTTTGTAGCCCCTTAAATACCCTTTAAAACGCACCCAAGAACGTACGATTTGGTAAAAAAACGAGAGAGATATGAATTAAAATGTAAATTACTTTTGGGAATAATAGATGTACCAGACTTATTTTATAGAAGCACCAATACCTAACGGGATTTAACGTTCTTGGGCTCGTTTTGAAGCTATTAGAGATGTTAATAAATTTACCGATTCATAATTTTAAAATATTGGCCTAAAGACCGGTCATAAACCGGTTAAAACTGATGCAGACCGAAACTGGTCTATAGACCGCAAAAAACCGCGGTCTGCGGTCTTTTTGCGGTCCGGTCTGGTCTTTTGACTTCTGGGGAAAAGGCAGACCGGTTACGGTTACGGTTAACGCCCCTGGGCATCAAAAAACCGGACCGAACCGGACTTTCAAACACTACTTGCAACAGATTATGGATCACAATATTCAGATGAGTATCTGGTAATGGACATGGATTCGGATATGTGGTTGAGGATGAAGTCATTACCCCTTGCACGCAGAGTAGATTTAGGTCACTGAACATTGCAATGAATTGTTCTGTTGCTCAAGGTTGGTTTTCAGTGTCTTGGTGTGTCTTTGTATGTGAGGCTGAGGAAGATGAGTGCCACACATA